TCTTGGGTTAGGTGGTCTTGACCACAACACTGAACCACACACAGAAAACAATCGAACACAGAGGTGAAAGAACGGTTTATATCAGAGAAGCGTGGCAATAACATCTTTTTCCTTTTTAGGTAACGAACTCAGAGCAGGAAACACAGAACTACACACACTATTATCCTTTAAGTGAAAGCAAGATGTATTTGTCTCTATATGTGAGCAGTTATCTTTTTATGAGGAAACTAAAAAAGAAAGGTTGGAAAAGTGAAGAACCAATGAGGTAATAAAAAACCCATGTGGCACAGTTTAAGCCACATTTAGCACAACTGTGCTAAAATCCCAGATCTGTCTGGCACCTTTTTATGAATATTCTTCAACCAATTCTGTCCAAATTTGCTGCAGTTATGCATTCCAAAAAAGTTGATAAAGTTAGAAAACAAACCACTGGACTTTGTTTTTCCAAATTTGAAGACGTTTCGCTTCAGCCAGGCCAGCAATGACCCTAACAAGGCCTTTTTGGAGGCCTCCATGCCTCCTTAGTAATCCACATTACTAAGGGGTGGACCTGTTCTTTCGATTTAATTAGCATTTTCTCTAAGTGATAAAAAGTCTTTGTTTTGCTACAAACAACAGCTATGTGGTAATTTTAATCTGTAACTCTGAGTAATGGTCCTCTGAGAAGCCCAGTTTTTTTTACTTATATAAATGTAAATTATGTTGCCATTTTTAGCTGAAAAAGCTCAGTATGTGTAAGGAACGGATTTTTCTGTGGCATCTCTAATTTTTTTAAACAACCAGTCTCCTAACTTTTACTGAAACGCTCTGAACACAGTTAGCTGATTCCAACCCCAGTTACTGTTGGCTAAAGTAAATCAGCAGAAAGGGGGGGAAAAAACTTGGACTTGGTGACAAAAAAAAATGGTAATGAATGTGAAGAAACTGGGCTGATATTATCAAATAATTTCATTTTTTTTTTTGCCAGTAAATGTTATTACATTTAATGTTTGTCCAGTTTTAATACACTGGGTAGAATCACTTACTTAGATTTTTGTTTGAGAAACATTTTTTTACTTTGGGGGTTTCTCTCATTTCCATTTATTCACTCTGGGAGGCCGTCTTAACATATTTTACAGTTCATCTCAAATGCATGGATGGAAATTATGGAATATACCTTAAATATCAATAGAACAGATGAGTAAAGCTCATACAGATTTTACTAAATGTTATAAACTCTACAGAAAATGAGATGGTGTGTCACAATCATGGCACATATTTAAGTCATCAAAATATCTTATTACAGATTTTTAAACCATGTTACATTTGGTCAGTATTACAGCACAGTTTAATAATTTGCAAACTTGTTTAACAGAAAAATGTTACAAATGAAAAAAAAAGTTTAGAAAAACAGAATAATTTACCGCTTATTACAGCCTGTAAATATGGTAATTTCTCACATTTCTTTAATGTTTACAGTTATAACACCATTCTATGGCTATAAATCATCTGTGAAATTACACAGAGCTGTAGTAAACAGCCTTATTTTTTTTACATTTATCAATTTCAGATTTGAATATTATTTAGGTGTTTTTTATGAATGAATCTTGTGTGAACAGCTCTGCACAGCTTCCTACATTCCCAATACAAAATGAATGTTAAGGACTTATTTCCTAAGGGTCTTTTATAACCAAAAAAAAAACAAATATAAAGGAATAAATTATGCAGCAACTTTTTTAAATATACAAAAAAGACTTCAGACTCAATTGGTAAAGAAGGACAAAACCTATACGCTGCAGGTCTGTGCGTTCTGAGGAACAGTGGGTTTTAGTAACAAAAATCTGCAGCTGAATCTATGGTGTGGCCTTAGATTCAGCACAGAAAAAAGATCCAGCTGTTCATCAACCCTTTCCTTTTACGTCAAAAATTTAACTGAAACAGCATTAAAGAAAAAAAGCAAGTGTGAAAATAATTGCCCTTTTTAGCACTATTAGGGTAAGCTATCATATATATTAATTTCATTCAAAACTCCAACAATTTTATTAATTCTGGAAAAAAATATCTAATTACAGGCAGATTCAACAATCAAAAGATAAACAAAAAGGTGATCAAGTAAAAAGGTTTCTCACATTTTTCTCACCAACAGATAGTGCTACCTCCTTTAGACGAAAATAAGTTAAATGAGGTGCTTCAGGTTACCGTCTCACAGTGTCTGTCTTCAGTCTGAGAAACCATTTAGCTCCACACTGGGCTGTGAGATGTTTTCTTGCATGTTCTGCCCGTTTCAAGTAATCCAACCGAAATTTTAATAAGACTGAGATGTGAGTTTCTTTTATTCCTCAACACAATCACATTTTATTTTAATTTATTTTTCTATTCGATTGGGGGTTTTTTTTTCAGCTAAAACTGATAGTTACATATCCAAATGTCCATATATGAAAAACCACTCAGGCTGTTGCATTGTAACCTTAGCCAAGCATTGGCCACTATGACTAAAAGTCATTCTGCCGTGTGAACAGCTATGTGTTTGTTTAGATGCTCTTGTCGTGAAAACCCTTTACCGCAAACTTTGCAAACATAAGGCCTCTCTCCTGTGTGAACTCTCATGTGTGTTTTCAGGTTGTGCTTAAACCGAAATCTTTCTTTACAAATATTGCAGAGAAATGGTTTTTCTCCTGAGTGTATCCGAGTGTGGACTTTAAGATGCGTCTTTCTGCTAAATCTTTTACCACAAACATCACAGGCAAATGGCCTCTCGCCTGAGTGGACCCTTGTGTGCTGGTTAAGGTTTGCCTTAACGTGAAACTTTCTTCCACATTCGTCACAGGAAAAGGGTTTTTCTCCTGTGTGGCTCCTCCTATGTGCAATGAGTGCAGGTTTTAATATAAATGTTTTCCCACAAATATCGCAGCTATGTCCACTTTCACCACTGTGAAACTGTCTGTGTCTTCGAGCATAGGACATATATTTGAAATTTTTACCACAAATATCACATGCAAACGGTTTCTCTGTAGTGTGAACAGTCATGTGAGTTTTCAAAGTTTGTTCGTGTGAGAAGGCTTTACTACAAACACCACAAACGAATGGCTTCAGCCCAGTGTGAATGCTCATGTGTTTTTTAAGAATATATGGACACTTGAATTGTTTTTCACAGATTGTACAATGAAATGGGGTTTCTACTGAGTGGACTTTCATGTGCACTTTCAAAATCCTCTTTACATGAAAAGTTTTACCGCAAACATCACAACTAAATGGTTTCTCCCCTAAGTGGAGTCTCTTGTGTGCTTGTAAAGTACTGTTTACCATAAAACCTTTACCACAAAAATCACAACTAAAAGGTTTCTCACCTCTGTGAATTCTGAGGTGAACTGTAAGCTGTAAATGGCGTCTAAAGTTTTTACCGCACTCCTCACAGGTGAAGGGTTTTTCTTGTTTGTGAACTAGCATGTGCGTCTCCAGATTTCCCTTTCGGGTAAAATGTTTTCCACAAATATTACAACCAAATTGCTTGTGGCCATCAGGAACTGAATGGAGGTACACTTTTTCTTTGACTCTAACACATTTCTTCCGAGGTAAGCAATTGGAAGAGCTTTTTTCTGTCTGAGGAAATAGCTCAGAGGCCAACAGTTTACCAGACTGTGACTGAGGTTCTGTTCTCTCACTGTTATTAAGGTTTTTTTTAGTTTCTGGTTCACAGCCTGACAAAGGCCCCCGCCAATCATCATTATCATCATCACTAACTTCAGTCGCAGAAGAATCCGTAGCAATTTTATCAGTTTTTAGCTGGAGGCAGTATTTCAAAACAGGTTCTGGTCCCTCACCGCCCCCTCCATCAGGTTTTGTTTCCATCTGTTCAGCTGAGGTGCTGGTTGAAGCGTCTGTCTCTCTGTTATCTTCAGTTTTGATGTGATTAATCTCTGATAAGTGATGTTTTTCTTCATCTTTTCTCTTCAAAAAGGGCTCTCCTATTGGAGTGATCCAAAGTTCTTCCTCTTCTTCTTTAACCAGGAGATGCTCTGGACTCTGCTGGTCAAAACCGCCCAAACTACACTTTCTGTGAAAAGGTAACACTAAGAAGAGAAATAAAACTTCATTAATACTTCTGCTTCATTTATACGTAAAATGTCACAAAATTGTAGTTATTTCTGTGTCTTACAAAAATTATTAAACAAAAAATTGTCAACACTGAAATAAAATGCTATGGTGGGTAATTTATGGATGTCTTTAATTTATGTTTTAAAAATTAACAAAAGGAAACATGTTTAATTGTTAGTTTTGTTAGTTTACGGTGTCTCATTGTACAGACTCATCTATTGTTAAGAGGTACAGTGAGCTTTGAAAGGTTTCATAACATCCTTCTGGTTTGCAGGATCAATAAAAGTGTTTTTAAGCTAAAAATCACATTGTGGTGTGTTCTGAAGTCCAGAAGATTTAGGTCTTCCTTGGGTTATCCTAAGTTAAGACTTACTAGTTTATTAAGGTATTGCCATCCAACTAAAAAGGGAGTTTGCATGTCAGTTCCAGTGTGAAACATATCAGGCTCTAAAATTATTAACAGCGTGTTTAGGATTTTAGAGAGAAACGAGCAGCTCATAACCAAACACACTTTAGTATTTAATTAATAACTGACTAATTACTTCTAGAAGAGAGTACGGTGAGGAAAATAAGCATTTAAACACCCTGCCATTTTGCAAGTTCTCCCACTTAGAAAACATGGAGGGGTCTGACATTTTTATCATAGGTACATGTTTACTTTGAGAGACACAATCTAAACAAAAATAATCCAGAAAATATTTTTTTAACCGTTTTATTTGTATGATACAGCTTACAGTGTTTTTCAGTACACCTGGCAGTGCTTTTACATGACGCAATAATAACATACCAGGTTTATAGAAAACTGTTTTTGTTTTGGAAAGAAAAGTTTTAAATTCAACCACTGTGCTCTACCCAAAGCTATCAACCTTGCTTTGCATGAAGCACATATACTTATCTATGTGTAAAGGTTTTACCATAAATATAAGTATGCAAGGAAATGGGATGCATCTGGAGAGATGGGTGCACACACTTCAAAACTGAAGGAAGGATAAATAGAAAAATGTACAGAGACATTCTTGATCAAAATCTGCTGGAATCTACTAGGATTTTTAAGATAAAAGTGGGTGGACATTTCAGTAAAACAGTGACCCCAAACACACAGCAAAGGAAATGCTCAATTTGTTTCAGAGAAAGAAAATAAAGCTGCAGAAATGGCCCAGCCAATCACCTGATTTAAATCCAATAGAAAATCTATTAGAGGAAACAAAGATCAGAGTTCATAGAAGAGGCCCACGAAATCTTTCCAGATCTGAAGACTGTTTGTGTGAAAGAATAGGCCAAAAATCACACCAGAGCAATGCATGCAAGTAATTTATCCATACAGGAGGCGCCTTGAAGCTGTCATTGCCAATAGAGGCTTTTGCACAAAATATGAAATAAATTTATAGTGTGTTCAATACTCTTTCCTTGTACAATTTCTTCTTTATTATACATTACTTAATTTCTGGACATCTATGTTTTGATTTCTTTGTATGTGTTGGGAGGGCCAGCTCTACCATATATGTGTGGATTGTAGGGGTGTAAATAATAATCATTTTGTATCGATGCATCGATCGAACAGCCGACGATCCGATGCATCGATACGTCCGCTAGAGAATCAATTCATGTTTTTTATTTCCTCCGGTCTATTTTTATCCATTTGTTCCTGGATGTAATTCTCCTCCCGTGCTGCGGTGGCGCTAAACCTATTTTGCCCTCCTACCTCGCTTCCTGGTTATACTCTTACAGCAGTGTGTTGCAGTGAGCTTGATGCAGACATTTTTGGTTTATGCTCNAATAGAGGCTTTTGCACAAAATATTAAATAAATTTATAGTGTGTTCAATACTCTTTCCTTGTACAATTTCTTCTTTATTATACATTACTTAATTTTTGGACATCTATGTTTTGATTTCTTTGTATGTGTTGGGAGGGCCAGCTCTACCATATATGTGTGGATTGCATGGATTGTTACAGATATCAGGTGAAAATATAATGCCAATAGCACCTCTAGAACTATATTTACTGAAAAAAGGTAGCGTATTCAATATTTATTCTAACCGCTGTATGTATGTATGTATATATATATATATATATATATACATACATACAGCATATATATATGTGTGTGTGTGTGTGTGTGTGTGTATCAGAATAACAAATTAAAATAGAAAGTATTTGTGTTTTATACATACTTAATCCTGGTGACAGAATTTATGTCACCACATGTCAGTAAAACCATATGAAAACAATAAAGGATCTTATAAAAAATGTTGTGCAAGACATTCGTTACATCTGATTAAAAACACACACCATAATTGTACTGGACTGAACTGGATATGAGCAGTTATGTTTCCTAACGGTTTTTTACAGCTGCAAATTTTACTTACTTGGAAATCTCCTTTACGAAAACCTGGTTTGCAACTTTCACACCAGATCCAAATTAACATCAGGGTGCTCGCTCCTAAGTTCTGTGTCTCCACTGTCCAACTGTCCCCAGGCTGTCGGTCCTCAGTTGGACAACAGGGTGGGGGTGGTGTGCGCAGAAGTCTTCTTCACAAACTCTGGGTGTAAACTCTCCTTGTTCCCCTCAGACATGAACCCTGTATACCGTTAGCCTCTGTGATGCTTAAGCTAACTGCTAACACTTTGCTAATGGACGCTGACTGCATTCTGGAGAGAAAACTCAAGCTAATATTAATCACAGCGGTTATAAATAGACACGTTGAAACGAAATCCTAATAAATAGAGTCTGATCATTTGTACAGTTTTATATAAACGCCAAGACGAAATAGGCAGCTGTATGGCAACGTCACATCCGGTTACTTCCTCCTCTTCTTCTTCTCTATTATGGTCGGATCGCAAGCAACTTTAAGGTGCATACCGCCACCTACTGTACATGAGTGTGTAGCAACATTACTTTACATCAAATTCTACTTTTTAATTTTGTATTCTGTAGATAAATAAATAAATAACACTTTCCTTAATCTGTGAATATCCTTTATATTTCCTTATTTTCCCAATATTAATTTAAGACTCCATTCTTTGCCGGTCCTTCCAACCATCCTTCTCATGTTCATAAGTTTTAGTTCATCAGTAGGTGTTCTACATTTTCTGTTTCTCCGCATCCTTCACATTTATCATTATTTTTCCTCCCTATTAAATATCAGTTACTTCCTCCCTTATCAATGGATGTCGAGTAAAGTTCCAATTTCAAAAGCTTTTCCTTTTTTTGTACAGTAATTCAGAATAAAACTTGCATAAACTAACTTCAAACAGATATTTACAATGTAATAAATCTGATTTATTTTTTTGCCAATTTGGTGAAATAAATCAGTTAATTAAATTAAATCACTGATTCTTGAAAATGAAAAGTTTCTTCACAGCAAAAATGTGTTTAGCGGAGAAACACAAAATTTTAATGTCTTAATGATTTTTTCAATATCCTTTAAATCCCTTTGTTGCTTCATATAATTTTTGTACTTTATAAATAAACTGAACTTGAAATGAAAAACAATCCGGTCGTAACATGGATTGCATACATATTTATTATATGGGTTTCACCACATTTTCACTCCTTGACCAATACAGCGCAACACATTTTAGTATAGATGACATAAAAATAAAAAAATACGCAAAAATAAAAAAAATTTCATTTTGACCATGGCACAATGTGGTGTTAAAGTGTCAAAAAAATTTTTCCAAAAATCAACAATTAACAATAACAAGACTAAACAGAGAGGTATACATATAAACAACAGACAAAGTTAAAAATCCTTAAATTAAAACCTTTAGAGAATGACATACTGAAGCTTTTAACAATTTCAAAGCCATAAAGAGAAGAGACACAACTTGCTTAAATGATCGGATTTATAAAAGAACTCAGGCACACTTTAGAGTTACAACCAGTACAGTTTAATTTATATTTATCAAAGAAAAACCCTCTAATTTATAGAGGATGGTTCTGTAAGGATGTGTTCATCTGACTGAAATACCACCAATAAGTCAGATAACGTACCTTACTTTTATGTATATACAATGAACACTTGTTCTTACCTTCACAGGTAAATATAGGCCTTTTCATCATAATAATAAGCACTAAGGGTCTGGGCAAAAAAATAATAATTTATATATAGAAAATATTACAATTAAGAAACTCTAAATAGGCAAAATTTCTTTTGTATTTACAGTGTCAAAGGTTCCTTCAACCCTACCATAAAGCATGGGATAGTATCATTAAAAGAATTGTTCCAATATGAACGGTCCCTAGTGAAGTAGAACTTCCACCAACACATAATAAATTAATGTTTAAGGGTAGCTATGCAATTTAATTCAATAATTTCAGTTTATTTAGAACACATATATTATACCACCACTTAAACTGGAATAAAAATATAACGTAACCTAAACTGAAGGACTCTGCGATTTAAAAATTCCATGGTTCTAAACTGCAATTTTATTACAAATGCAAATTGGTATCAAAGATCTCTTCATGCTCCAAAATAATTTAAAGAAATTGTAATTTTAACATTAGTTTTCTTACAAGTTATGAGCTGTAATATAGGTTTTATCTTTATTTTGAAAGAATATTTCAAATTCATGTTTGATAATTTTTACATTTGTTGAGGACATTTCTAGACACATGTAAAGACATCTCAGGGAAATACATTTTAGGGTGGAGGGCTTTGTGTCAGGTATATATTAGTAGTGAAAAGAGAGATGGTTTGCACAGAGAAATGATTTGTCAAACATCTGATTCAGCAACGCATAAATAATCACTCGCAGCCCTCATGAACACTCATGTGCCTCTTCAAATTTCCTTGCTGAGAAAATGCTTTACTGCAAACATTACAAGCAAACGGTTTCTCTTTAGTGTGAACACGCATGTGTCTGTTCAGTGAGACTTGCTGCGAAAACGCTTTGCTGCAAACAATACAAACAAACGGTTTTTCTCCCGAATGGCCTTTCATGTGATTCTCAAGATGGCGCTTTTGGTTAAATCTGCTTTTGCAGATGTCGCAACCAAACGGCCTCTCTTCTGTGTGAAATCTAACATGCCGCTTTAACTGAATCTCATCGACAAAAAGTTTACTACATTCACTGCAGCTGAATGGTGCGGTGTGAACCATAACGTGTTTTCTCAGATACACTAGTCGTGAAAATCCTTTATTACAAACGCTACAAATAAACGGTTTCTCCCCAGTATGTACACGCATGTGACCCTTAAGGCTCTCTTTTCGTGAAAAACCTTTGCTGCAAACACTACAGATAAATGGTTTCTCTCCCGTGTGAACACGCATGTGACTTTTTAGAGTCTCTTGTAGGGAAAACCTTTTATTGCAAACATCACAAACAAACGGTCTATCCGTTGTGTGGATCCTCATGTGCTTTTTAAGGCATTCCTTTATCTTAAATCTAGTACCACAAACATCACAGGAAAATGGTTTTTCCTCAGAATGGACGACAAGATGGGTTTTAAGAAATTTTCTTGCATGAAACCTTCTGTCACAAACATGGCAGGCAAATGGCTTCTCTCCAGTGTGCAGTCTCATATGCGTCTGAAGAAAACGTTTTTCCTTAAATCCTTTCCCACAGAGATCACAGCAATGTTCTCTAATTCCCGTGTGAGTCATCATGTGTAATTTAACTGATGTTTTATGTTTGAATCGTTTTCCACAAAAAACACAAGCATATGGCTTTTCTCCTTCATGGACTTCAACCTGAGCCATGAGGCCAGAACACAGCTTAGACATTTTATCTCGTCTATATGCCGTCATGTCACTTTGCTGAAAGGAATAAAAGGAATGTGGGGTCCAGTCTGCATCTGGTCCTCTACACTGCTCTCCATTAGCTTCTGTTTCCAGCTGTTCTGCAGAGCTGCTGGTTGGAGCTTCAGCTTCTCTGCCGTCTCCAGTGTCAGTTTGATCAGGTTCAAAAAACTGAGATTTTTTTTCATCTTCTATCTTCACATCCTCTTGGCTGATCCACAGTTCCTCCTCCTCCTCCTTTATATCAAAGGGCTCGTGGTCTTGCTGTTCAGAGCTGGAGCTCCAGTCTCGGACAAATTCTTCTTTAATTACCACCGTCTGGACTGGGAATGAAGAAACACATTGGATTAATGCTTTCAAACATGTGCTTAAACCTTGTGTGAGAAACAAAAATTAGTGTTCAATCTATTTTACAATCACTTTAAAACCTGAGGTTTTATATCACATGTTGGGTTTCAACAATGTTTACCTTCAAAATAAAATAATTTATCAGACTCATTTAATGTCTGCAACCTTCACAATCCTAAGGGCCATTTCTACCGTCAGTGCAGCAAAAGAAAACCTAGAGCTGCAAATATTATGAGTTTCTTAGTAAAATAAATAAAATTGTTGAAAAATATCTATGCGAGAACATTTATTTTCATTTACAAAGAAAAGCAGTTCTGTTTTCAGGTTTAAAAAAAGAAATAAAAACATGTTTAGCTTGTTTTCTTTTATGGGGTATTTATATTTGTGTAAAACTGTGTAAAACAAAAAATATTTTTTTTAATTAATTATTTTTACTATTTAACAGCATGAAAATCTAAAACTAAAGTGGTGCACTGACTGATCAGCATATCAGGTGGCCCTGCTTTACTTAATATTTGAAGAGTGGTGATCCACTGATACAGAGATGTTAACCGATCTGTATTTTGACAAAGATCTTGCAGATATAACAGGTTATTATTATTTCATAGGCAATGTAAAATAAAGATTGAAGCATTGGAGGTGTATTGCCACCTTCTGGCAACAGTTATGAAAAAAATTAGCATGCAAGGCTTTTTAAATATCAGTGATCTGCCAGAAAACTGCAGTCAGTGCACTCCTTCATTAAACCTTGTTCAATTTAACTCCTATATACTGTCTTCCAAGCTTGTTGGTTATTATTTGTTTGGATAGTAGCTAAGCCAGGTATCCCAACAAACCGAATGAAAAGTTGCTTTCTAAACATTCTGTTCCACTAAATGTGGAAGTGGTGCAGAATCACTCCTCTGCACCTTTGTAGCTGATCGTAGCAACTCTGGTCAATCAGAGCGCTTCCACCTGATGCACCACGGTCCGTTTCTGAATCGTTCCACATGTGCTGATGCTCGTAACACTGACTCTGTGTCAATCTAGAGCAGAGTGGAAAGTTCAGGCAGGAAGTCAGCTGATCAAAAGCACCAAACCAAAGTGGATCCAGTAGAGCTTGAAAATAAAAGACCACATGTAAAGACTGATCCTTTTTTTTTTTTTTTTTTTTTTATGTGATTAAAAAATGCTGTTTATATAGTTTATCAACAGCAATAAAGAGTATGAGCATTGGATGAAAAAAAAAAAATCACTGAAAGATTAAATATTTAAACTCACACATAATAGATCCAAAGAAAACAAGGTAAGGTGATCAGTTAAAGAACAGGCCAAATAACCACTTTACTGCTTCATTGTTCTATTTAAAGCCTAAAAGTACACCATGTGCATCATTCTGAAACACTACTGCAGGTATGTGGTAGAAAGTCCAGCTCTTCCAAAGTAAAAACGATGGGGGATTAGCAATCCCATAAGTTTCTGTTTTGCCATTTTTATCGTTATTGACGTCTTTAAAATTTAAGATCGGCTTCGATGCAAAACAAATACTAATCAGATTGGTTAGATCTGGACTAGGTTATCATACTTTAAGTAAATATTTGTTACGTTTTTGTTCATTTATTTTGTTAGGAAGCAGACAAAAACTTCAATAATTTGTCATTTAAACTGGACTCCTCTTGTTTAGAGCCCATGATGTAGATACTATGATCTAAATGTGCCATCACTGGGTTTTTTGTGCAGCAAATCAAAGATAAAGGGGGGTGATATAAATTTTAATAGAAGCACAGAGTTATTTATTTTGCAGATCTTAATACTAACCTAACAAAATAAAAAAAGGCTTGAAAATAAAACTTTTTTAGTTGTGTTCTGGAACCAAACTTGAGCCTTGATTCGAACAACATACAACAACTGTTATCTGAAATGTTATCCCTGTCTTAAAACAAGACAAGGTTAAATTTAGTAAATCTAAAACAAACGTTTTCAGGTTTTTTTTTAGCTAACAGAGATATTTAAGTCACCCTATCTACACCCCCACCCCCAATGAATGAATTTATTGTGATTATCCACATAAGTTGCATTGAAAAGTTTCAGTAGCCACACCCAGGCCTGATTACTGCCAGACCTGTGGGATAAAGAAAAACCTGTTTGACGACTCAATGTAGGCTAAAACATGAAAAAAAACATCTATCATTCTGGAAACCATTAAAATGCTTCTTCTGAGGCTTTGGGACTGCAGGGAACCACACTGAGAAGCATTATCCACACATAAAGAAAGTATTTAGCAGTGGTAAACCTTCGCCAGAGTGACCAGGCTGCCATAACTGTTCCAAGAACACAGTGATGACTCATCTGTGAAGCTATAAAAGAAGCCAGAAAAAAAAAAATCTAAAGCATTGAAGCCCTTAGTTGCTCCAGCTAAGGTCGGTGCTGAGCAAAAAAAAAGAAAGCTTATACAATACCTTCTGAAGATTTTGAGGATGGGCTTCATGCTGTGCTGTGAAGAAATGTTTACCCCCTTGTGTTTTGAAACAAATGGAAACTTTAGGGCTCCATATAAATAGTAATATCAGACATAAATAATTAAGAACAGAAAGTGGTTAAGAACTGCTGATTACATTTTCCAGAAATGAAAAAGCTATTATAACCATCTAGCTCCAAGTCAAAAAATAACTGCCATCGTGAACCTATAACTGGTTGTTCCACATTCGGAACAGCAGCTAATATCAAGCATTTATGATCCTCTTTAACAGCAGTTAGTCTTCTACAGAATGAACTGAATCACTTGAACACATTCAAAAACGTTCTACTTTGGCTCATCAGTCTAAACATTGTTCTCCAAAAGCACATGGAGATCATTGAAATCTTTGGAACTCTGTCATGGATGTAATTTCTGCCCAATTCCTCTTTCTTATGGTTTAATCATGAACACTGACCTAAACTGAAGTAAGAAAGCTGGGGTTTAATCTAAATGTCTTGTTCTGCGTTCTATTATGCCCTCCTGGATGAATAATCAATGTGATCTTGAAATAATTATGGAAGCCTGGTTTCTAAAGGTTAACCACTGCTCTGTGTCGTCTCCATATGTGGACAACAGCGCTGCGGTTTACTACGGCTCTCTAAGCCAAAGTAAAACCTTTCCTTCAGATGGCAGTGACTTTGTGTCTAATTGGTTACTTAATTGAACTGAAGACTGGGACATGATGGATCTTTTGAGATTTTTGCATGAGATTTCACAATCATACAGTTCTGGTAGTAATCAGGCATTTTTGTGTGAAACTGAACTCTTTGTTCAGGGTTAGTCATATTTAGGAGGGGAAGCTTTTTAAAAAGAGAAATATTTTTTTCCTTTGATAAATAAGTTGAAAGCTGACCATTGTTTTTACTCAAGTCATCTCTGATGTTTCTTGATAATCTGAAACACTTAAGTGTCACAACAAAAAAGGCAACTGAAAAATAAATGGTCTCCAAATGAACAAACTAATATATATTTAAACCAATCATTTTGACAGATAAATTGCATCCACAGCTTTAGACAAAGGGCTTTATTCAAATATGCAGCTGATTAAGCTGATTTTCTCCAGTCCAGTCAAACTGATGTCACTTACTGAGATCTTTTTTTTTTTTTATTAAGCCATTGACATTTACATGAAAAAATACTCTCAGACAGGATGGCTAAAGTGTACATGAACAGATGAAGTTTAATTACAAATGGAAAAAAAACAACAAAGTAAAACAAATAGCGGGGGATTTATCTAAATAAACATTTAAATCAAACATAGAAAGCCATAGAAATATGAAAAACAAAAAAGCTGGATGCAATTAGAAAAGGAGATGTTGGGAGAATTCAAGACTCAATTTTTTGGCACATATGTCTCTTTATAAGAAAAAAAAAAAAGGTTAAAAACATAAAAAAAAAAAAAAAAAAAAAAGATGGCACATCTCAACATGGCACACAGGAGATAAGATATACAAAAAAAAACAAGAAGATAAAAAGAAAAACAAAAACACGCAGGAAAAAGAGGCCACATAAAAAAAAAAAAACAATTAAGGCAAAAGGGGAAAAAACCGTAAATTTCCAAACCTTCAATAATAATAATAAAAAAAAAAAAACAATCCACCACATAACAAAAAAATCTTATTAAAAAAAATGCGACCACAGAAAAAATGTGGAGAACAACAAAAAAAGGTGCTTCGACGACAGGAAGAAAAAAAATAAGAAGAATGCATCAACAACAGAAGAACAAACAACAAGAACACCCCTCCAACAAAAAAAACAATAATAATCAAGACATCTGCCAGCAATAAAAAAACTAATGAAGAAATTATTATAGCATTTATTTTACTTACTGAGATCTTTGCTGCCTTGTGTCTGCTCCAGTTCTGATGTAGATCCTGCAGGGATGGGGGGGCCCAAGCTTCGCCCTCTGGGGTTCTCCACTTCCACCTTCATCATCTCAGACATCCTCCATCAAAAGGGAAGCTCTTTTTCTTAATTCCTGTTTGCAACCTTTACATCTTCCAGTAGGTGAAGGTTTCAGCCATAAAGCATGTTATCTTTATTTTTTGTAGAGTTTTCCTTTTCTGTTCTCTGAAGCTGCAATCAGCAAGAACTCAGCATCTGATCAAATTAGTTATATTAACAGAAAACGTAGGAGAGCTGAGAGCAAAGATTTAAAAATCAGTAAGAAGTTCTGCTTTCTCTCTTGTCTTCTGCAGTATTTCACTCCTCAGCTAAACTTCAAGGTTAGAGTAGATATCGAAAGACAACTGTCCCCCCAATGTCAGTCTCAGGGTGTGGACTCATATCATAGCACTAAAACATTTAACTTTTTTAAACAATTTAACCCCAGAAAGACATAATATATCGCTGTTAGCTGATTTAGCTCCACGGTTGCTAGCTGTCTATTCACTTTATTACAGGCTAATTACATTCTGTACAGCAAACCTCGGCCCTACAAATTAAACTAAAAACCCGCCAACGTATTGCCATTACGAAGAGTCCCATGAATAGACTGTTGGACACTCGGTGACACGGTATTTTTATGGGTTGGGTAGGTTGAGCTACCTAGTCAAGCTAACTTTGTTACGTTCGATAACTTCCTGCTTTCTAACCAATCAGTGACGAGGAAAGTTCTAACTCGGAAATACAAATTTCAACCAGTAGATTTTCACAATAAAGCAGTTGAAATAATTTAACAGATAGGGTATTTATCATCTTAGATTATGTTATAGTACAGACTACTGAAATAAGCACAGTGTTTATTTCTAAAAACAGGGAAAAAGGGAAAGTCTTTTAAAACAGTTAAACAGGTGTAGTACTCATCCTGTTTATCCTTACAACGCCATGAGGTCTGATGTCCATCTCCTCTGTTATGTCTCAATGTTTGGGAATATTTTTAACGCAAACTTATTTAAAAATCTGAAACAAAAAAAGTGACCAGATTTACACATTTCCTGGGATGCAACCACAAGTTAAAAGGTTATTGAAAACATATACGAGAAATACCTCAATAATTACTACTCCAGTGTTTCCTCATCTTTTATATGATATTGCAGGAGCCTAAATTCATTTAAAATAAAAGGGATTACTGGCAATTTACAATATTTACCAGAAAGTAAAAAGGTTTTCATGATTAAACTTGGGACAACTTTACTCATTTTGTATATATAGTGTATGCAAAACAAAATTTGCAGCAGTGATCAACTGTAAGCTCATGTGTAAAGATATGCAATATCTCCAATTGTACTGTAGTTATTTTGGAAATGTGCATATTTTATTAATTAATAGTTTCTGGATTTTTAGGGATGTGTCTTCTGCTTCAAGGTTAGTCAGGTAATTGGAATGGAGCCACACAGTTTTTTGACCTCATTCACATTTCTCCTAATCTTTTATTTTTGATGGATATTTCATTAACCTGACAACAGCCAGATGCATGCATCTGGCTGTTGTCAGGTTATATTGTATTGTTTAATCTTTTAAATAGTATAACCTAACGGAGAGGGTACTGTTTGGTTTTGTCCATCAAGCATATTACATAGGGGAAGAGCGTTATGGTTTTATTACATAGGAATTGATACATTTTTACATTTGGACTTCCAGTCTAATAACCCGCTTTCTTTTTTTTCTAATACAATCTTTACCAAACATTTAGAATCTGTAGAGATCTGAAATGACTTTAACCCAGCTAAAAATAAATAATAATCCTGCTCATTATTGTAAATTAATTATGGAGTTTTAAAACATGGACTTCCTAGTCAGGCTTTCCTTTTTTTGAGTTTGTTTAATGATGGCCACCTACTGGACTGAAGGTGTAGTGCATTTAACTTCAGAGCTTTTCCATATTAAATGAGGATAACTGCATGATTTTCTCTTCTATTCAGAACAATGGAAAGAAAGACATATTTCCCATGATTCTTTTTATCAAGGTATAACAAACCCTTGAGCTTTCAGGGAAAGGAAGCAATGTAAAATTTTATAATTTTAACTCTACTAGAGTCAAAACCTCTTCAGTAATGATAAAATGAACATAGATGGTTTCAGGTGGTAGATTTAATAATTGTTCTATAGTACAATTAGTAGAAAAACAAACCAAGCAGAAGATAAATGTCATCTGTGAACCAAGTCTTTGTTTGGGCAGTAAAATCATTTCCGTTTAAGGCCTTTTCTTCCTCCTCTCTGCCCCATTTTTCCAGCCTTCTTGGTCGGTTTGCTTTGAGCTTTTGAGACTTTCTTTACAGCAGCAGGTTTGGCTGCTTTCTGCATTGGCTTCTTCCTAGTTGGCTTCTAGAAAGAAACATAAATATATATTATTTGAGATTGTTCAAAAACAGCTTGCAATGAAGTTATGACTAGAACCTCCAGTGGATGTGTAAGTACTAACCTCAAGTTTGGGTTTTTTGTTAGGTGTTTGTATGGGAACAAGCTGTGGGATTTCTTCTTCCTCTTCCTCCTGCTGCTTTGTGGTCAAAGTCACATCCTTTTCTTTTTTATTGTCTGCTTTGTTCTTCTTCTCCTCCTTTTTAATTGGAGCTTTCTGAAAACAATCACCTGAGCTGGTTAATTTGCAAATGATTTGAGAAAGAATATATTAATATTGTTTCAGTTCTCACCTTGCGTTTTGCGTCTTCCAGCACACCGAGATGGCTCAGGTCTGAGGTGTAGATGGGCAGGGCCACTGAAGTTTGACTCTTTAAATGGATCAGCTTCATTATGGGCCCCTTCTAGGATCCATTAAGTTAGAAAAGAAACAAATATGGTAAATAAAAAGGAAGAAGATTTACCATTATAGTGAATATATACGTAACATGGCCTACAGAGCACTGCAGCTTAAATATGCCCAAAAGACTGGGACAACAAATGAACCCCTAACTTACCGTTTTCAGCTTGGCCAGTACCGTTTGGACCGCAGCTTCGATGTTTTCAGTCACCTCATCTGCAGTCATGTCAGAATGGGCGATTCTCGCCATGCTGCAATGGAAGCCAACATGTCACTTGGGAGTCATGGAAACAGACATGAAAGTTTGAACTAAATATTAACATATATTGTACATATAAGCAAAGACATTCTCACTACCTGATATTAAAATAAACTGAACTGCAGAGCGTTTCTAAACGTGTGAAATAATGAGTCGCTCTCAGGACCTCAGCGAGGTATTTAGGATGAGATGCCATAATAAGTCCAATGAAGGAATCCCCTCGCTCTTAAATATTCCTCCAGATCATCAGTGGTATAACAAGCTGGAAGCTATTAAGAACGATAGCAGCTCTGCCCTGTGGAGGAGTTGCTGATGAAGTGGGGGGAGGAGATTCTGCGCAGAGGGCACCAACTTTCTGCAGTCAATCACTACACACCTTCAAACTTCATCCAGCCTTCAGGTCAGCTCAAGAACAGTCAGTAGAGAGCTTCATGGAATGGTTTTCCATTTTTACAAAAACCAAGACAAATAACCACATCCAAGCCTTAAGCTCTGAACTCGCACAAAATGATTTTGAGTCTGATCCGACAGAAAATTGTGTCGTAAGAGGTAAGAGGAGTGAACATTTCGATTACACCGGGGAAATCCAATCGAGTCTGTCGAGCTTGTATTACGCTGCTGAATAGACTGGAAAGAGATCTGCAAATTTATTGAAGGTGAAATGAAAACAAGGTCGAAGCAGGTGCCCCCTGAGAACGAACAGCTGCTGAAAAGAGAGCCCGGGAGCCTACTCCCTCGAAAACAGAGATTTTAAGAAGCTCCACCACAGCACAGATATTATGCCAATATGCCATGATCATACTTTTTGGACATTGGGAAGCAGTGTCCATATTTCATCCTGATAGGATGACCAGAGAAGAAAACGCAGCTTTGGTGAATAACAGCTGGGGGACTTCTGCAGCCCCCCCTTTTTCAGCCAAAGCAGCCACAAGCAGTCACATGGAAACCAACAGAGGTGTGAAAACCACCCCCTCTGTAAGGACAGAAAAAACCACAGAGCACACAGGATTCTGTCTCTTTCTTACTCTTCTGATCCAGCCTGCTTCTGCTCCTGCGCTCAAAGCTGGGGCCCACTGTGGCCCACAGTGGAGATGC